AGCTAGTGAAGCCAGGTAAGAACGGGAGTAATTGGTTCGCGGAGCCTGGTGTGGGAGAGGACATGAGCTGCAGAGTTTTGAATAATCTGCAGCTGGTGGAGGGAAGAGTTGGGAAAGCCAGTGAGCAGGCAGTTGGCATAGTCAGGCTAGGATGTTATAAAAGCATGGATCAGGGTCTCATCAGCCAGCAGGCAGAGGCAGTGGCGGAGGCGGGCAATGTGGCAGAGGTGGGGAAAGGCAAAATGGGTCCCGCATGAACATGGGGTTTGAAGGATAGCTGAGGGTTGAAAAAGACACCGAGGTTTCTACTCCAAGATGTCTCAAAGCGCTTTGCAGAATATACTGTAAAGTGAATTGAATGTATATTGTGTGGGCGAAACTTGGCAGCCAATTGTGCATAGCCGTGTCCCACAAACAGTCATGGATTAAATGACCAAATTACTACCTACCTGCCTGCCTACCTATCATTTATTAATTATTTATTTATTGGAAGGAATTATTACCCCTGGAAAAGCGATCCACCAATTAACTAACAATCGGGTTCCTACTTACTGCTCGGTGAACAGAGGAGTGTGGAGTAAGGAAACTTGCCCAATGTTTCGACCTGCCGGGAATCGCACCCAGGTCCTCTCGCTTGCGAGGCGAGCGCTCCAAACACTGAGATACAGGATGGGGTATATTATAATAGAAAGGGCATATTCTAATACCGAATACCATTGATATTATTAATCATTCTTAATGAGAGGGCATATTACAGTAAGGTTCTAAACATAACGTAAGTTCTTTTTCCTGAATTTTCAAAATTGCTACTTACCCTATAATAATAATAATAATAATCCTTGGATTTGATATAGCGCTCTTCACGTCTTCTCGACGTCTCAAAGCACTTCACAGAATAGACTGTAAAGTGAATTGACTGTATATTTGTGGGCGAAACACGGCAGCCAATTGCGCACAGCAATGTCCCACAAACAGTCGTGGATTGAAAATGACCATTTTATTATTGTTTTTTTTGTAATACTACTATTAGGTGTGTGGAGTAAAGAAACTTGCCCAAGGTTTCGCCCTGCCTGGAATTGAACCCAGGTGTCTCGCTTGCAAGGCGAGTGCTCTAACCACTGAGCTGCAGGAGTCCACATGCAGCCTGAATGAAGCATGCTGGAGTACAGACGTTGCTAAAGAGATGACTTTTGATTGAGTAGTTACAAGATTCATTAGGATTCAGGAACCAGGAAAGATCAATGACCTGATTGTCATGAGCTGCTTTTTGTCCCCCCTCAAATTAACAGTATTTGTCAATGTTTTCTCAAACAAGAGAATATTGCTTTGTGCCTCACTGATAGTGACCAAAAGAAGTGCAAATGTAGAGACACTGTCCTTGGTCTAGGTGTAGGCTGAGTGTTGATCAAACTGAAAGGCATTTTTATTATATTTTAGAGATTAATATTTAATGGTTATATTTATGGTTAATTTTAACTAAACGATGAAGTGCACCCATTTGAGTACTTTTTTTTAAGATTCAATACTCATCAGGTTAGTTTGTTGGTTTTATGCACCGTTTGTCTTACCCCATCCTGTAGCTTCGTGGTTGGGGCACTTGCCTGATGGGCGAAAGAACCTGGGTTCGATTCTTGGTGGGATGAGGCGTTGACTGGTTTCCTTGCTCCACACGCCTGTTTATATGACAGTGGGTTGGTCGATTCGTAGATCGCTTTTCTGGTGGTAGTGATTCCTTCAAAAAAATAAATGAATGAAAAGATAACAATAGCCGTTGGGTCACTTTGTCCATTTCTGTTTGTGGGACACCAGTGTGCGATTGGCTGCCGCATTTCGCCCAGAGTATATATCGATTCACTTTACAGTTTATTTTGTGAAGCGCTTTGAGACGTCTCGTGATAGGGCGCTATATCAAATTCAAGGATTATTATTATTATTCAGACTAACCCAAACTGAAATGTGAGAGATTCTGGAAAAAAATCAAGTTGTGTGCAAGCGGGACAATTGTGAAAGTGTGCGCATGTATGCAAGATTTTTAGGGATGCTAATTTCCCCACATACCTAGTAGTATTGCATTTCCCAATTCAACATGCTTTTGCCTGTGCAGGGTGGTCCAATCTTTTGGCTGCTGAGGACCAGATGCCCTATTTGAGAAACGCCCCCTGGCCGCCAAAGCAATATTTTTGTGTTTCCCTTCCAGAAACAAATGATTTATGGGTTACGGAGGGAGCGGGAAATGGAGGGGGGCACGGATGAAATCAGTCCGCGGGCCGTCAGTTGGACCACCCTGAAGTTTAAAATTTATAAAGAAGAGTTTTTGCATCGAGGGTTGTTAGAAATATATAATGCATCATGAAAGGCTATTGCTACCAAATCATTCATAACATTTAAAGGAAACTGGATAAATACTTGAGGACTTCCAATATTCAAGATTATGATATTTAGCAAACCAAATGTACATCGAATAGGAGTGATAAAACAGAGATAGTGTTTGAACTTTGGGGAAGGAAAATATGTGAATAGCCTGTTAAAAAGGTTCCTTAGATGTATAATAGAGAAGGAAATAAGTGGTTTGAAAATAACATATTGAAGTAAAGAAAAAAAGTAAATAAATTCTTTACTTAATCAACACCAAGTGAGCAAAGTATTTATTATCTTAAGGCAGAGATTTATTTATTTTAAGTAAATTGATTACTTAGTCAGTGAAATAATTTATTTCATGCAATCATTATTTATCCCCTTCAGCTAAGAAACCAAACATCCAGCTCAGGTAATTAATTATTCATTCAGTCTGATAATTATTTAAGGTGATTGATCATTTATTTACTTACTCAGTGAATTATTTATAGGCATTATGCCTTGAGCTAAATATTTCCCTGGACTATTAATGATTTACTAATTTATCTTTTTTTTGGTCAGCCAGGTGTTTGACACATGAGAAAACCCATCACCAACCCTACCCCTATCCTCACTTCCCAGCTCCACCTCCTTGCCCCCATCTAACAGATATCGTGAACCTCTTCTCTCTGTCAACTGGCACTGTTCCCACCCCCTTGAAAACAGAAGCCTTCACCCCATCCTCAAAAAACTTTTCCTTCTCACAGTTCAGAGATGTTAACTGTTATAATCCATTGTTGTACTCTTTCACCACGCCCTTTAAAATTTTCCTGAGGTATTTATCCATTTCCTTTTTAAATGTTGTTATATTTAAATGTTCCTTCCTCATTGACATGCTCCCTCTCGACAATATCATCTGTAGACATGGGGTAAACTTCCACATGTATGCCCATGACACCCAAATCTACTTCTCCTCATCCAGCTGGGACTCCAGGTCCTGTTCAGCTGATGTTGTCAGCTTGTCTGTCAGAAATCAAGGCCTGGATGAGCTCAAAATTCCTGCAGCTAAATGTCAACGATACTTTTTTGCCCAGCATCCTGTTACCCTCCAGAGGACTAAAGCGGAGACAGAATGGCTGAAAGCTTGCTTGCCAATTGGACAACAACAACAAAATTACATTTATAGAGCGCCTTTCACGTCGGGAGGACGTCCCAAAGTGCTGAACAGTCAGGTGTCGGGGCCCGAACATGGGGGAAGGGTGGTTTGGGGTGAGGGAAGGCGGAGAGGTGGGAGGGTGACCAAAGGCACAGTTGAAGAGAAGGGTTTTGAGACCAGCCTTGAAGGAGGCAAGGGAGGAAGTGAGGCGAAGGGAACGTGGGATGGAATTCCAGAGTATGGGGGCAGAGAGGCTGAAAGCCCGGCCACCGATGGTCGGGCGGGAGACATGGAGCAGACCAGAGCCCGCTGAAAGCAGGGAGCGGGCAGATTGGTAGGGAGTCAGCAGGTCAGAGAAGCAGGAGGGGGCAAGGCCATGGATGGCTTTAAAGGTGAGGATGAGGATCTTGAACTCGATCCTCTGGGGGATGGGGAGTCAGTGGAGTCGGGCGACGGTGGGAGTGATGGGGTCGCGGTGCCTGGCACACGAGAGTACTACGAGCTGCAGTTCTGGATGATCTGCAGCTTATGAAGGGAAGAGCTGGGAAGGCAGAGGGAATTTCCGTAATTGAGCCTTGATATGACGAACACATGGGTGCGGGTTAGATAAGGATCGCACGGATAGATTAGAATCCTTGTACTTGATACAGCTCCTGCTACCGAGTCGAGGTGGGGAGGAGGAAGAATCTCGTGAGAGAATAAAAAAATGCGAGGTGGAACTTAATAATATCTGAAAGACAGGTGTGTGGGTTTTTTCAAGATCCTCATCCTCACCTTCAAGGCCATTCACGGCCTCGCTCCCTCCTACCTCTCCGACCTACTATCCCCCTACCTACCTGCCCGTACCCTCCGTCCCTCCGGCTCCGGTCTGCTCCACATCCCCTGCCCCAACCGCCCTACCATCGGTGGCCGGGCCTTCAGCCTCTCAGCCCCGAGGCTCTGGAACTCCATCCCCCAGTGCCTTCGCCGCCTCCTCCCTTTCCTCCTTCAAGGCCGGTCTCAAGACCTTTCTCGTTGACCGAGCCTTCAGCTCCCCTCTCGACTCTCTACCCCCTCCTCGCTCCCTCCCTTCCTCCCTTCCCACCCCTCACCCTGACCATACCCCCCCACAAGATGCTCGGGTCCTGACCCAACTGTCCAGCGCCTGGGGACGTCCTCCCGACGTGAGAGGCGCTCTACAAACGCAACCTTGTTGTCGTTGTTGTTGTTGGCGGCGGCGGCGGCGGCGGTTTGAACCGGGAGCGCGCCCGGCGCGTGCGCGCTCGGGCTGACCACTCGCGCTCGCGCTCGCGCGCGCGCGCACGCACGCGCGCCGTCGCGAGCGATTGGCCGATAACGAACTTTTTTTGTTCTCCTCATCGTTTCGCTGCGAAGAGGTTCCTTGAGGGGAGGAGAGAGAGAGGAGAGAGAGAGAGGAGCGGAGGTGCTCTTCGTGCGGCGGAAGAGAGAGAGAGATAATTATTAATTGTAGTTAAAGACACGTCTACAGACAGATGTGGAGGAGAGAGAGAGAGAGAGGGAGAGAAAAAGAAAAATCATCAGGTGAGCGCAGGCCCTGAGTTTCTTCCCTTTTTATTTTAAAGACGTGTTTGTTTTGTCGGGGAGGGGGGGGGGGGGGAGGGAAAGCCGGTGTCGATGCTCAAAAAGGTTCGTACTTTTAAGTCTTAAGTTGAATTAAGTTTCTTTTTTTTTAAAAAAAATGATGTGTTCTCTCTCTCTCTCTCTCTCTCAGTAACTGTCAAAACAGCGTTTTCTGTTCAGTTAACGCGGAGGTGGCGATCGGGACTTTAGATGTTTGTTGTTGGGGGGTCGTTTCTCTTGGGAAGACGCACACTTTTTTTTTATCATCTCTCTCGGGTTAGTTGTTTAGTTTTCAAAACAAAAAAAAATGATCCTTTTTTTTTTCCTGGTGATAATAATAATAATAATAATAATAATCCTTGCATTTGATATAGCGCTTTTCACGTCGGGAGGACGTCCCAAAGCGCTTCACAGAACACACTGTAAAGTGAATTGACTGTATATATCGGGAACGAATGCGCGTTTGCCGTAGAGCGAAGGCGTTCGCAGAGCTTCGTAACTCTCCAGCAGTTCCTCCTCCTCCTCTCCTCCTTCTCCTCCTCCTCTATTCACTCGTCGGCTCCCACCGGTTCCTGTTTCCCTGGAAGTCTCCCAAGTTCGTCTTTTTTTTTAAAATAAAGAAAATATCGAGTGTGGAAAAAATAGTGGCTCCAAAGGTCTTGTTTCACCCCCAAAATATCCAGTCCAGTCCACTTTGTAATGCATTCTGTGAAACGTCTCAATGACAATGGTCATCAAATGCATCAAATGCAACGATTATTATTATTATTATTATTATTAAATGTTTTTTTGCCTTTTTTTATATTTAAAAAAAAGTGAAAACGAATGACTGCAAAACCGTCTCCCGCTGAATCGACACACGGTTTCCCACTCACTGTTTTATTAACACGTTTTCGCAACTTTTTTTAAGTAAATATTTATGGCTAAAATGACATTGTACAGAAACTTGGTTTCTATTTTGTTCAGCGTTTCTTATTTTCACAAATGATATTAATTCTTTCCGTGTACCACATTGGTTGTTATTCTATGTGTCAACTGATTGTAATTGAGTAAATTCATCAGCTTTTTTCTGTGCTGATAGATCCGAGATTACCGAGGATGTTTATCTGATGCTTTTCCCACTGTATCTCTTAAGTGTTCACATAGTAAAGCTACTGCAGTGGCATTGATGGAGTACTGTAGCTCAGTGGTTAGAGCACTCGCCTTGGAAGCGAGTGATTTGGGTTCGATTCCTGGCAGAACGAAACGTTAGGCAAGTTTCCTTACTCCACACACACCTGTTTACCTATTAGTAAATAGGAACCCGGTTGTTAATCCATTGGCAGATCGCTTTTCTGGGGGTAATAATTCCTTCAAAAAAAATTGGTCACTCAATCCACAACTGTTGTGGGACACGGCTGTGTGCAATTGGCTGCCATGATTCACCCACAAAGCATACTGTCAATTCACTTTACAGTATATTCTGTGAAGTGCTTTGAGATGTCTCAAAGATGTGATAAGGTGCTATATCAAATGCAAGAATTATTATTTGATGTGTAGATGCTTAATGATTTGATTCAACTTTTTGAAATGATCAGTTCAAACATTGTCAGGAACCTGGGTATCTTGTTTGACCCTGAACTGTCCTTTCTCCCCCACATCTGCGCCATGACTGGCACTGCCTACCACCACCTCCGCAATATTGCCTCACCCCTCAGGCTGCTGAAACTCTCACAATGCATTCGTCACCTCAAGGCTTGATTATGGAAACTCGCTCCTCATAATAGCCTTCCCAACTCTTCTCTTACAAGCTGCAGATCATCCAAAACTCTGCAGCTCGTGTACTCTCATGCACCAGACTCCGTGACCCCATCATTCCCACCCTCGCCCGACTCCACTGGTGTCCATCCCCCAGAGGATCGAGTTCAAGATCCACGTCCTCACTTTTAAGGCCATCCATGGCCTTGCCCTCTCCTACCTCTGACCTGCTGACTCCCTACCAATCTGCCCACTCCGTCCGTTCATCGGGCTCCATGTCTCTCGCCCGACCCGTTCTACCATCGGTGGCCGAGCTTTCAGCCTCTCTGCCCCCACACTCTGGAACTCCATCCCACGGTCCCTTCGCATCGCTTCCTCCCTTGCCTCCTTCAAGGTTGCTCTCAAGACCTTTCTCTTCGACCGTGCCTTTGGTCTCCCTCCCACCTCTCTGCCTTCCCTCACCCCTACACCACCCCCCTCCCCCATGCTCAGGCCCCAACACCTGACTGTTCAGCGCTTTGGGACGTCCTCCCGACGTGAAAGGCGCTCTCTAAATGTAATTTTGTTGTTGCTGTTCTGAATCCAATCCTGTTCTTTCCCAGTGATCACATTTGTACTCTGCAACAACTTACATTTATACAATGCATTTAACACATAAAAAAGTGCTTTATAGATTTACATTAATTAATGTTAACTAGAAATTAACTGATTGTTGACCATCAAGTTTGTTCCACAGAAACAAGTGCAGATCAGATTATTCTCCCCCCCCCCCCCCCAATAATTGCCATAAGTCAGTGGCAATTATTAGCAACCACCTAGTTGAAATCAATTTATTCAGCTCGAACTTGGGACCCAGTTCCTGGTTTGTATGACTGAAATGTAGTGAGGTACATTTATCTGCTAAACAAAAGCTTTTTAAAATGTAAACCTGGTTTGTGAGCAGCTTATGTAGAAACTCTACGTTTCCTCTTGCCCCCGCCCGGTCACCTGCGGGGTACCCCAAGACTCCATCCTTGGCCCCCTTCTTTTCCTCATCTACGTGCTCCGTCTCGACAATGTGATCCGCAGACATGGGGTCAACTTCCACATGTATGCGGATGACACCCAAATCTACTCCTTCAACTGCGACTCCCAGTCCGCTGATGACCTGTCAGCTTGTTTGACACACAAAGGCCTGGATGAACGCAAATTTCCTGTTGCTGAATGTCAGCAAGACGGAAGCCATACTCTTTGACCCCTGTCAATGTCTTCTCCTGGATGTCTTCTAAACCTCCCCGGGCTTTCCCTCAGGCTCTCTGAACCCGTGTACAACTTAAGCATCGGGTTTGATCACCAGCTTTCCTTTCTACCACACATCTGTTCCCGCTTTTTTCCACCTCCGCCACATCACCCATCCATACCTCACAACTGATGCAACTGAAACCCTCGTCCATGCCTTCATTTCCCGGCTAGACTATTCAAATGCCCTCCTCCCTGGTCTCCCCAGCTCCACCATACACAAAATATAATCAATTCAAAACTCCGACACCAGATACTCAATCTGCACAAAACTCTGTACTCCCGTCACACCAGTCCTAGCCAAGCTCCACTGGCTCCCAGTCACTGAATGGATATAAGATCCTCTTACTCGTTTTCAAATCCCTTCGTGCTCTCTAAGCTCCCTATCTATCCAATCTGCTTACGTCCCACTGCACCACCCACCCACTCGACTGGCTCTGGCCTTCTGTTTGTCCCTCGTGCCCTCTGTTACACCATTGGTGACCAGGCCTTCAGCCACTGCCCCGAAACCCTGGAACTCTCTCCCTCAATCCTTCTGCTTTGCCCCCTCCCTCCCCGCCTTTAAATCCCGCCTAAATACCTTCCTTTTTGATAGTGCTTATGGTCACGTCCCCCCTCCTTCCCCTGGTTCGTTGTCAGACTCTGCTCTGGAACGCTACCCTGCATGAAGGACGCTATATAAGGTGTTGTTATTTCACAGATTCTGCATGAGGCATTTGACAGTTTTATTTGAAACTACTCTGTGCTTTGGCATTAGGTTTCTTTAGTACCTCTGACCTTGCAGAGATTGTTGTTTCCAGAATGACATAGTTTGATAATTAAATAGTAATTATATCAATTGAGTCTCTTGGATTTTTTCAGATTGGGTTAAATCAATTATATTTCTAATCATGAGAGAACTGCACCTCTTTGTTCATAATTTCGCATTCAGGACAATGTCATCACTCTTCAGCTGTATGCAATCTGTTCATGGTAACTTCTATTTTTCTTTACATCTGCTTTAACCTACCTTCTTGCAATGTCTGATTTGCGATTGCTGTCTCTTCTCAAGTCCACAATTTACTGTGTTGTGTTCATTGAGAGATTCTTCCTTCTGCTCTTTCCATAAGATTTTTCTCATCCTATCGATACTCTGGCAACCTTGTCTTAAATTATGTTTATTCTTGAACTATGTGACACAGAAACTTTTTAATCACGGAGTACAATTTCTTGCTTGGATTCTATTTTGAACTCATTCTAAATTGCCTTTGCTAATGTACTTGTTTGTTACTTTTTCATTCTCGTTGTTAATGCAAATTGTTACAATGCTTTACTGATTCTTCTCCTTTCATTGGGTTCTTCTGATAATAATGATAATCCTTGCATTTGATATATAAGGCCTTATCACGTCTCTGAGATGTCTCAAAACACTTCACAGAATATACTGTAAAATGAGTTGACTGTATATTTTGTGAGGGAAACGCGGCAGCCATTGCGCATAACACTGTCCCGCAAACAGTCGTGGATTGAGTGACCAAATTTTGATTATTTTAAAACAAGGGATTCTTATCCCAGGAAAAGCGATCTGCCAATCGACTATCAGGTAACTTACTGCTAGTTGAACAGAGGCGTGTGGAGGCAGAAATAACTGCTGACGGCAGAAATAACTGCTTGAATCTGAACTTTCTAGCTCAGTTTCAGCTCTGACGTCACTAATTATGACAAGAATTTTTATTTTTTTGTTTTGTAGCAGCAGTTTGTAGGTTGTAACAAAGGCCCTCCTGTATCTCATCTGTTGCTTCCAATTTTTCAATTTATTGATAGTCGTGTGACCTACTAATATGTTGCACTCATCAGCAGGCACTATATTGGTCCTGGCTTGTCAATTCCTTCTGTGCATTCTTAAATCAACAACAAAGACTGTCTCGTGTAGTCCTTCTTTCCCAACAAACAAAAACAACTTTTCA